ATAGGAAAAAGGGAGATTATAGGAGAAAGAGAGAGACAGACAGACAGAAACAGGGAGATAGAGATAGATAGATAGAGAGAGACAGAGAGAACGAAAGAAAATTAATGAATATTTCGTGGAGATTTAAAGCCATGATTACTTTTGCATTTTAATTCGTTGATTAAACAGGCAGATGGATGAATAATCACCAAAAAAATAATAATTTCCATTCGATATTCAGTCAAGAATTTTCGATTTTAGTCATACGTGAAATACATTTTATAACAAATAAAACACTAAACGAAATTAATTTACTATCAAGTCAGTCATTTGTAGATATCTTTCGGGACGTCAGATCAAAAAAGAATTAATTATGTGTGGTGATTTTGCTTTTTTTTGTCATTCTTCTTGTTATTGTGTGTAAGAATTATAATTACTTCTGGTGATTATGCAATCAGTCGGATTATCATGAAAATATATAGGTGCGTTATCCGTGGCTCAAACTTATTTTTTTATATAATTTGCTTACAGATCAAGTTACAGGTTTCTTATTCAGTACAAAAGCACTTGCTTAGAAATTAACTTTCTTTGTTTTTTTTTCTCTCTTAAGATAAGTAAACTTATTAACTTTTTGTGGAGGGTTGGGGGGGTATTTTGTGACCATATTCATCCCTTTTGGCGTAAGTACATTAAATTTTATTCGTTATTTGATTTTCCAAGTTCCCGTTGTATAATACCTGCTACGTTAGTTCCATGATGTAGTCCCTTTTTATAAAAAAAAAAAAAAATGTAGTCTGAACGTTACGTAGACCTGTTTACAATGAACTGCTACCCTTTTTGTTCGAATAATTTCATGTCTTTCATGGATCGCAAATCACCTGCTAACTGTAAGTATCTAGATCGTATTACTGACACTTTACTAATTACATGATTTAGAGTGAATAAAGTGCACTGTGACCCGAAAAAAAAAAAAGCCCAAAAGACGATGCAAAACTTCACGAAGCAATGAAGGTATTTGACGCGTTTTGACGAGATCCACATTAGAAGGAAGTCAATTGTACAGACGAAATCCATCAACCACATTTCTTCATAAAGTTATTCATTCGACTGTGTCTAATAGTATCGTATTAGGAAACGTCGATCACACACCCCTTGCCTCACAAAGTTATTCTTTAAATTATGTTTAATAGCATCGTATGTCTAACATGCAAGGTCGAAGAGACAACGTGTGCAGATGACAATGTTTTCTTTCTTTCTTTCTCTCTCTCTCTCTCTCTCTCTCTCTCTCTCTCTCTCTCTCTCTCTCTCTCTCTCTCTCCTCTTCGCCTTCGATAAGAATCTAAAATAGATCTCACACACAAAAAAATCCCTTAGTCTATTTATAACAGTGATAGACACGATGAAAAATGGCCCGATGCTTATTTGATATGGAGGTAAAAAGTACCTGTCTGAAATGGTACGCATATGATTTTTAAAATACATACACAAACATACCTCTCATTCAAATAAACACACACATACGCACACGCAGACGAAACAAAATCAATTCATTAATAAGTAAATAAAAAAACGCGTATAATTTCACCGTCAACGTTGTCCATGTCTACACGAACGCCACAACCTTAAAACATATGCGAACGGAAAACTTTGACTCCGTCTTCGACCAGGAGTTTTCCACCCGCATCTCAGGAGTCATTTGACACCCGAGCGCCACACAGAAGGCGCCGGATTATTTTTCCTGCCACTCCCTCCACGTGTCACCCTTTGTTTACCTGTGATGTCATCGAGTCGTCAGGTGATGACGTCACCAGGAATAAAAGCGTCACGCCCTATTTTAGTTTACGTTTTTATCTATGGATCGCCTTGAGAGGTCGAGAAGACAATCAGCTGTCCTTCACGCTGTATATTATGGTATTCTCTTATTAGCGACATCCAATAATAGACAAAATCGATAAAGAGAGGAAGAAGAATTTAAAAAAAAAAGAAGAAGAACGCCTTCCGCACAGCTTCCTGCAGCGACGGGGCGCGCGGAACTTGATCACAGAGCTCCAGTTAGGCTTCGTCGCTCATTAGGCTCACCTGGGATGCCTCAGGGCGCAGCGTGATTGGCTTCGATAATCTGCAGTTGTTCTAAATTGGGGTCGAATCGCGTTTATTTCGAGAGGCGGACGATTAAAAAGGATTAGGGAACATTTCTTCTGAATTTTTTGAGTCGTACGTGTTGGGCGTATATGAGTGTGTCTCTGTGTGTATGTATGTGTGTCTGCGTTTGTCAATGAATATACAGTCGTACTGACACTGACAAGCAATATTACTATGAAATACGAGTGGAAAGCATCAGATTTCAGGAATTTTATATTAAATATGATAATGGGTATAGGTATTCAAACGAAATATTGACACATGATGGAAAATCGTTTCCATAACACTGTTTTGATTTGTTTTAGTATTTTACTTGCAAACAGCCTAGACCAACAGGCCGAAAATATGTTGTAAATATTTTACTGTGAATTTTACCCATATATCTCAAGAAACAAATTAATAAAAGTAATAAAAGAAAACAATCAAAATGTTCTAATACCCTAAATACTGAAGGTAAAGGTTCTATATCCAGAAAATGCCATAACAAGTTTCAGAACAAATAACTTAATATCTGAACATTTACTACGTTCTCATTCCCACATTTCAATATGAGTTCCATGCACTTCAGAGAGTATGAATATAAAAACAAATAAATAATAATACCACCAGGAATGATCAAATCATTATTCTTTTCCATAAGAGCAACGGATTATTATTTCCCCCCAAAAGTGACTTGAGAATAGTTCAAAGAAAATAAGAACAGGTAACACGAGAGAAGGAAGGAAGTTGGAACGGAACATACGTCGAACATCACACGAAGTCACTGAGAATAACCCATGAGTCTTATGAAAGGGAGAAGGATCGGTGGAATGTTTTGACAAGTTCTGGTACCATATGTTGGTACTCTTCATCGCCATCTCGCTCGCTCTCGTTACCTCTTTCTCTTTTCTCTCTCTCTCTCTCTCTCTCTCTCTATCTATCTATCTATCTACCAATCTCTCTCAGAGACACACAGGAAAAGAGAAGGGTAGGCAGTAGAGGAAGGGGAAGGAGGGAAGGAGGGAAGGAAGGAAGGAAGGAGGGAGGAGGGAGAGGAGGAGGGAGGAGGGAGGGAGGGAGGAGGGAGGGAGGGAGGGAGGGAGGGAGGGAGGGAGAGAGAGAAGAGAGAGAGAGAGAGAGAGAGAAGAGAGACGAGAGAGAGAGAGAAGAGAGAGAGAGAGAGAGAGAGAGAGAGAGAGAGAGAGGGAGAGCTATAAGAAAGAGAGACACAACGAAATATAAATAGAGAGAAAGGAGAGGGAAATAAAGAGAAGGAAAGAAATAAGAGACAGAGAATGGAGAGAAGGGAAAAGGGAGAGATTGAGAGAGAAGGGAAATGAGTGCAAGTACACGTGAGAGCGATTCGCGCAGATCCTCACGCAAGCACCCTTCCAAACGCGCACAGAGACAAGCCCAGAATCGCGAGAGGCCTTCCCCTAGCTCGCGGGTAGGCCTAGCGTCGATGCCCGAGAAGAGGAGGAGGGGGGGGGTCGACCTCCCTCCCGCGCGACACTTACTGTGGTCGAATCCTCGGTAGAGGTTGAGCACATCCTCCTCCGTCATGACCTCGGTGAGCACGCTGGAGGACGAGGAAGAGGACGGGGGGCGGAAGAACGGGTCCTCCTGGGTGGTGGGTTGAGGGCTAGGGGTGGGTTGCGGGGACGTGGGGTGGTGGGCGCTAGTGGCAGTGGCGGGGGTGGGCGCTGGGGGCAGGAGGGTGGCGCGTTCCCATTTGAGGGCTTCCTTGACCCTCTTCCAGCCGGAGACCTTGGTCTTCGGTCCGGGCTGTGACCCGCCGTCCAGCAGGTCCGTGCCGACGGACTTGCTGCGTGAGCGGGCCACCACGGACGCGGAGCGAGGCTTACCTTTGTGCTGCGGGCGGTGGCCGAGCAGGAGCAGGCTGTCCTCCGAGCCGTGGCGGGACAGCTCTCCTCCGCCGCCTTCCACATCCTCGTCCAGGTGGATGTCGGAATCCGACAGGTGGATAGGGCCGAGTCCGAGGCCGGAGCGACGGGCCTCCAGCGTCTCCTGCAGGTGGCGGTGCATCTCCTGCAGCGTCTGCAGCTCCTCCAGGTAGTGCACTCTCCTCTGCAGGCGCGTGTTCTGCTCGCGAAGCTCCCCCAGCTGCTCCATCATGCGGCAGAGGTTGTCCAGGTGATCCAGGCCCACCTTGGTGCCCACGACGCCGCCCACGGAGGCGGGGGCGCGCGTGGGGCTGCGGTGCTCGCTCCGGGGCGGCGGCGACATCTCCTGAGGAGGCTGGCCTCCCGCCTCCTTCTGGACCTGCTGCGGCCGCCCCGGACCCTCCTTCTGCACCTGCGGCAGCGACAGCATGAAGTCCAGGAATTCCCTCTCCGTCTGCAGCGCCGCCGAGATGCCGTCGCCCTCGTCGGGCACCTCGATCATGCTGAAGTCGAAGGTCTGGAGGCGCGAGTCCGGGTCGGGGCTGGGCGACACGCTGGGGCACGAGTCGGAGTCCTGGTAGCCGCGCCGCCGCGAGGGGCGCAGCAGCGGCGACCCCCGAGGGCTCGCCGAGATGAGCGAGTCCTGCGACATCTTCCTCCCGTCGTCGTCGTCGGTCGTGCTGTGGCCGCCGTCGCCGTCGCCCTCGGGAAGCAGCTCCCGGGAGCCTCGGTCCTCGGACTGCGGCTGGGAATCGGAATCGAGGTACTGGTGGGCGTGGCCGTGGGCGTACTCGTCGTGGGCCTCCATGGGTGTCCCGGGCGGTGCTCCATCCTGCGGCACTGTTTCGCTCATTACATCCACCACACGCTCACACCGCCAGTCCTGCTGGCACTGTGAGACGTCGGGCACGCTCTCGCCTGGCCCCCGCTACCCCCGCCGCGGCGCCCCCTGCCCGCTGTGCCCCTTCCTGCGCCGCCCCCCCCCCCCCCTCACGCCCCGCGGTACCCTCAGTCCCACCGCCGTCACTGTGCCACTAAATATACGCTCAGTCTGGCGGCCGCCCCAGCACCTGCCGGGAGTGACGTCATCAGGCGGTACGCTCGCACCAGTGAACGCTGATATAAACAATGAATGAGACACATGCGGACACGTGGCCAGTCAGGCCTCACCTGCTGCTGCGACCTGCTGGACACCCGAGCTGCCGCCAGGAGTCCTCCGCGCCGCCGCTCATCCGGAATCGCGTCCTGCGGGAGGAAACACACGTGAAAGGCTGGCCTTGCTTTCCTTCGCCTGAGGTGTGCGGCCGCCGGAGGGCATCGGGGAACTGTCATCGAAGGACTTCATGCTATTTATATAAGAGCAATTCCGGGAAACAGACTCCGAGGACTAGCGTGCCCGGCGAAGTCACCGCTGAAGATAGGCAAGGACTACTCTATCATAGAAAGCCTAAACAGTGCTACTCCTCACAATATTAGGTTTATATTCACTATCATAATGGGGATAATATATACAATAAATACAACAACTAAACACTGTATAAAGATTCCAAATCTCTGAAATAACAGATATGTGTCAAAGTAGAAAACTTTTAGAAACCACGTTTTTTTTTTGCCAAATTCCCCCAAAACAACAACAAATCACAAATATGTCATGGTAAAAATAATATACACATCGATCATACCGACACTCATCGCTTACACAGAGGGAGACATAACTCAAAGAAAGTTTGGAATTAAAAGCACAAAAAAGGAAAAAAAAATAAAGATAAGTGCTTCATCATCCCGCTTCTTTGACGCAAGATAACGCTAATAGGAAGGAATGTCATAACTCAAACACATCGCCTTAAAACGTGTACTAGGATTTTTTTTTCTTGTGTTTGGAGAGTTTCGCTTCGGGACCGAAACCCCTCCACGCGCGTCAAGGCTGGTGGGATAAATGATATAAATCCCTGTGGACACATGAGCAAACATACATACATATTCACACATGCACACGCACACACACACCACACAACACACACACACACACCACAACACACACACACACAACGCACGCACACACACACACACACACAACACACACACCACACACACACCACACACATATATTATATATTATATATATACAAGATATATATATATATATATATATATAATATATACAGATGCATATACAATAAATAAATAAATATATATATAATTACATATATATATATATTATATATATATATATATATATATATATATATATATATACATATACAGATGTATATACAATAAATAATAAATATATATAAATACATATATATATATATATATATATATATATATATATATTATATATATTATCCATATCCATATATATATGCAGATGTATATACAGATATATATATACATGCATACATATGTGTGTATATATATCTCTATCTATCTATCTAATCTATCTATATCTCTCTCTATATTATATATATATATATATATATACAGGAGAGAGAGAGAGAGAGAGAGAGAGAGAGAGAGAGAGAAGAGAGAGAGAGAGCACGCATACATACATATACACAAACTCACACAACACACATATATATGCATTATATATTATATACCACACACACACACACACACACACACACACACACACACACACACACAGCACACACACACATATATATATATATATATATAGTATATTATATATAGTTATATATATAAATAACACAGCACACACTCACTATACATAACATATATAGAGTAGTAAATATAGGAATGATAGTAGCAGATGTAGAGAAAACACACGCCATACGTATGTAAATATATATTATTATAGACTAATTATGATACATTACTAATAAATAATACTAATAGTATACAGAGAGAGAGAGAGCGAGGAGAGGAGAGGAAGAGGAAGAGAAGGAGAGACAAGAGAGCACAAGAGAGGAGCAGGGGCAGAGAGAGGGAGAGCACTAAGGGAGGGAGAGGGGAGCGGAGGGAGAGACCGGACGGGCCAGACACCAGAAACACACGCAGTAGAGTGAGATAGCGGAATGGCTTTGGAGAAAGAAGAGGGAACTAGTAAAAGGCATAGGTGAACAAGAGCAAGGTGTGGATAGGCAAAACGACGATGAACAGGACAAGACGCAGCAGGACAAACGAGAAAAGAAGAAGATATCGGGAAAGAGACTAAAATAAAACAACAAAGGAACAAACACGAAGGGGTTCTTTCACATTAGGACACACACATACACGTTAGTCATTGGATGATAAAAATCGGTCAGTAAAATCTAACTGCAGATTATTAATGATATTTTCTCGGGCAGATTTTGCCATTCGGCTGCACTTTCATAACCAGACCATGCAGAGTCAAATAAGAAGACACGCGAGCAAATATGATCACAGAGAACTAACTTTAAAACTTATAATCACGAAAAATCACACACACCCACACAGAAAGAGGCAGCATTTAAGGGGGACGACGATTACAGCATCGCACCTACCAAACTATGTTCTTGGCAGACATGACACTGAAAATTCTTATGGTTTTTGAAATATTATGGAATTCTGGACAAAGCGAGATGTCTTTTGGGTCTGTTTGTCCCTCAGAACTCTCTCATACCTGACATATTGGATATCAGTGTGTAGTATTTTGTAGCCTTCAGTGTTTCAGATTTGAGCGTCATTGTGTGTACTAGTTAGTAATATCAGCGGGTTATATTCAAGGGATAGTATGGTCAGATTTTAAAGCTGTCAGTGGCACATAATGTGTCATTGTCCGTATTAGAGTGTGCATTAGTGTGCTAGATACATATATATCGGTATATCACAATGTGCTGCCTTTTTAGCGTATTTCAGTTAGAGCATGTTTCATAGTAGCGTCAGTTGTATTGTCCACTCGATTTCTACCACTCAAGCTTGTATGCTTGGGTCTTTGCATCTCTGGCCGCTTTTATGTGAAGGACAGCTTTAACCTAACGCCATTGATTACTTACTCCGTCGATCCGTTTTATATCACAGATTACTAACTGTTTTAGGCTTCGTCTTTGTAACAACGCACGCCTCTACATACTGGCGACATTCTTTCCTTTCTCTCATATATCGAGGACTAGTTTATCATAATCTCCTCCTCTGTCTAACCCCTGGGCCATTCATCACCTCTACCCTTCGGGTCACTCTCCACCTCTTACTACCTCACTCGCTCTTCTCACTTCTCCACGGCTCTTCTTCACCTTTGCCTTCCACTCATCCACTCTCGCGCTTGCCGTTCTTCCCTCTCTCCCACTTCCGCCATCTCCTCCGCTTTAGCCTCTCCCATCTTCTGGTCCTGTTCGCACGCGTCCCCTCTATCCCATCCGTGCATCACTTGCTCTCTGCCACTTACTTCTCATTCGGCGCCTTTATGACCTTTCCACTTGCTCACGCTCTATGGTCCCTTGTGCTCTTCTCTCTAATATACCTCTTCTGTCCCTCTCCCGGCACTCTCGTACCTGTGAGCTCTCTACCCTTCGACTTCCCTATTCGTGCCTCGTCTCTTCCCACTGCCTGCTTCTGATTTCCATCTGCATAGGTTACCCTCTTCTCTCACCCTGTGGTGCTATCCCCTCTCTACTCTTCACCCTCTCGTATATCCCTTATGGCGTTCTTCACTCACCCTCAGCTCATCCCTAGCGTTCACGAGCTCACCTGAGTGTAGATCTTCACGTTGTGGCCAATCAGCAAGGAATGGGAGAGCAGATTTGATTCGAGCAGTCATATGCGCTGGGCGACGCGTCTATGATTAACAACGCGCGCGCCTTAGATTTGTGATTTCTGAAAGACCACACATTAGAGCGTCCTCTGTATGAATGGGCATGTCGAACAGCGCTTTCGCTCGGGCCGTTAAGTCTCCGACCTGCCGGTAGAATGAGAGTGCTTGGCGAGGCGCGCGAGATTGTTGAATGTTCTCGGGGGCGACACCGTTAATGAAAAGAACTTTAAACAGTGGGCGTAGAATGAGCTCGGGCGTGTGTGCTCGCAGCAGCTCGCTGTACGGTGTGGTCTTTGGGCGGGGAATCTCGGGTTGTCATTTCTGTGCTTGTTTAATCGTACTGGCTTCACATTTTTCTAATTCTGCTCTACAATCTCTCTCATCTTTTTTCTCTATCTCATCAATGCTCTGCTCTTCTCTCTCCTCTCTGCTCATCTCACTCTCTCTCTGCGTCGCTCGTCCTCTCTCTTTTGCTCTCTCTCGCTCGTCTGCTCTCTCTCTCTCTCTCTCTGCCGTCCTCCTCTCTGCTCTCTGCTCTCCTTCCTCCTCCTCTCTCTCTCCTCTCTCTCCTTCCCTGCGATTTCTCTCTCATCTCATTCTCCCTGATCTCTGCTCTCTCGGCCTCTCATACTCCTCTCTTCTCTCTTCTCATATCTTCTCTCTCTTCTCTCTGCTCTCTTCTTCTCCATCCACTCACACACATCACATCTCTTCTTCCTCACCATCGCCTCTCTACTCCTCTCTCCACAACACACAGCATCACTACACACACATAATCATAGGTAGGGGTATCATATTTATTTAAAATATTACAACTACATATTATAACATCATATGAATACATATATCTATCTTCCTATTACTATATTCTACATATAGGATACTTCTCATTACTATTACCAATACCTCACCACACATATATAATATATGGTTATAAGTTATATGGTAGTATATCAAAGGTATAGTATACCATATATCATACATATTTATATATTAGGGTCTCCACGATATGGTATGGGCATTATATATGGTATATCTATGTGTATGTATAATATATGTAACGTATTAGTGGCTTAGTATATTTAATTGATTTCGTTACACACGGAGACGGTTTGTCAGGATAACTGATGACATCTAGTACTATATGACTTATATAAGGTTTCTCACTATATATATACTACATATATACATATAATATCATACTCAATAACCAGATAGTAGGTATAGTATTAATATACGCTAATGATTATATATAAGTCATTCAAATATAATATATCCAATTCATAGGTATTAGTCACATACGATATATAAGGTCTAGTGTTCCCATTCTTCAGGTATATACCTGTATGATATATATAATTATATATAGTAGTGATATTATATATCATGTATAATAATAGGCTACGCTTACTAATGATAAGGCTTCTGCTATCCGTGATTGCGGTGAATGTACTTCTATATGGGTATCATTATCTATATAATGAATATATATATAGTCGTCCTCTAT